CTAAGCTTTTGCGTTACTCGGCATTTACATGACGGCCAAGACAGCTGCCATGTAGGTAAAAAAAAGACTTATTTCAGGGAATTTTGCTATATATCTAAACATTTCATGCATCAAAAAAAAGTATTACGTTAATGTTTATGACTTTCTCGAAGAATAAATGCACGCTTTTGTAACAAAACTCGGTAACAGATGTTTCTGTTGGTTTCTGTCCGCCATGTTGGTGTTCATCCGGATGAGCACCAGCATGGCGTCTCCATACAAATCTCTACAAGGTTGGGTAAAACATTTCTTCGGATATCTCGTATACGAAATATTCCTCTGACCTGAATCTGGGCGAGGGTCTTTGTATATTTACCTCCTTTCATTTCCCAGATTCTAGACTTTTATCTATTGAACGGTTTTGATTTTTATTTTGATCTATTTTGAATGGCGTGACACTGAAAACCAGCAATAATAGCAAAATCTAGGGGTGTTACTGTAGATACGTTCCATCGCAAAATATAAACCTTAAAATTTTCAGCCAGATAACGATTAAGGTGTTTTATTCATCATAGGAACACAAAACAAACTCCGGACACTTTCCAAAGTCGTTTAAGCACGGAATTCAAGAAGGCTTATGGTGGGCCACTGTTACTATGACAACCACAGGGTAGGGACATCATACTTTACAATTAATCTGCGCACCTGGGAATGGAGTTGACAGTAACGTTTAGCGAATACTCACAGCATTAATTTTGAAAAAAAAAAAACAAACAACAACAACAAAAAACAAAAAAACTTTCAATTTTTTCTTTATAAGGAAGTTTACAGAAGGCTAGGCGGTATATTTAATTGACTTTCGCTCAATTGCCATTATTTGAAAGTTTCCCAAACTAGATTATATTATCACAGAGCCTTCCTGGTTCCCTCCGGTGAGCTATTAAGGAGAACAAGATACGGTCACTGCGGACTACAGACTACGGTAATATGCGGCGGGGACCTAGTTCGGGATTTACTGCGCATGCTCGTTAGCACGCAGGTTTCGTAGAACGTCGTCTGGTCACACGCTACGAGTGAGTAGTCGAGGAGATTCGCGTAGTGAGGACTACGTAAGTATTTTTTTTTTTTTACCAATTTTTAACCTTTTAAACGTTACTTTTATGTTTAACAGTCTTTCGGCAGTTAAGGTTGAGCGGAAAAGAGGTAAAAGTCGCATTTTTTACCTGTTTGTTGTTCTGATTACTGACGCCCTTCGAATTCTTTTTTATTACAACAGTGTGTTTACAAGCAGATTATGAGGTCAACAGGAGATGAAAGCAGGTAATTCACTTTCTTTTTCTACTTTTCAAAAGTGAACTGCGAACTTGTTGGAATCATGTACCTTTTCAAAATCAAAATAGATTGTAAAAGCTTTTATATATAACGGAAACTACATAGTGAATCATGACAGCTGCGTATTTATTTGTCACTTTAGTGTGTGCTCCAGTGGCCAGTCACATTTCTGAAAATGGCATTTGTATAGATTGTTTGTCAAATGCTTATACATTAATTAATTTACTGGTTTTGTGTCCTCAAAATAGGCTGAGTAGATTGATATGCAAGAGGAGAGTTGAACCTTGGGAAGGGAAATGTGCCTCTGCTTCCGGTTTTGGCGCGTTGTTGATTGACAGTTAAATGAACGCGTGAAAATGAGGAATGAACAGATGTGTTTTTGAGCCTTTTAAGAACAGTTGAGTTAATATTTCTGTGTTTTATCGTGTCGATTAAGTGTTCGCTTTTAACAGTCGACTCATCGACATTTGGTCCACCTAGCTGGGATATTTTGTGTGAATTCGAGAGCGAAATGTGAAAAACGAAGGAGTATAGAGTTATTCAACCACCGAGTGAAATTCGTGTCAAACAGTGTAAAGCAAACAACAGCAACACGCGGGAACGTGGAAATAGATTTTGCAATTGTGTCTAAATTAAAATGAGTGTTTCAAACGGACAGAGAGACCGAACACTGAAGTTTTTTCCGTCCAGCGAGTTTGACAGTACGTCCAAAGCAAGTAAAAGCTCAATTCTCAGAAAGAAACCTCAAGCAGAGAAACTCGCCCTTCAGTTAAAAGTAACCCGATCAAAAATGCGAAGAAGAAATCACAGGCTACTGCGTGCCGAGCTGCTAGACCTTAAGGGACCGATCGTTAATACCGTCCCAGAGGGGGGCGGGGGTTTTCAGAGAAGGGTGTATCAAACTTTACCTCCCCCAATTAATTACATATGAAAATTGTACCCCCCTTGGCAATAAAATTTTTTAAAATGCACCCTCCCCCTCCAACCCCTTCTAGGCCAAGTCTCTTCTTCCATCCTTGGGCATTGATTTCATAACCCGTAAGATACCGGTAGTCAGCAGCGTAGCGTGAGATTTTGAAGTTTCACGCAGGGGAAGAAAAGTTAGTGCGCCGAAGGCGCCCCAAACCTAGGGGAGTCTGGGAGCATGCTACCCCACAAAATTTTTAACTTTAGGGTCTCCCAGGAAATGCCATCTCCTGCGTTCTCTGTAGGACATTCTCAGTAAATAAAGACGAGGGGAAATGCAGTAATAAGTTGTTTATTTTACCCATCTCTAGCGTTATCAGTAAGGTACAGTGCTTACGGCAAAAAAAGGGTAAAACAGTGACGCCATAAAGGAGTCACAAACAAAGGGCGAGATGTGTACCCTTCAGACAGGCACACTCTGTTATAATACCATCAATATCAATTACGTCCTTCTGCTCATATGCCGAATTATAAGAGAGCTAAATCTCTCGTCTGCCTTGGTCCTCCTAAAGGAGTTTGCAGTCTCTTCATACCACTGAAGCTACGCTCAGCTGTGTATATTGACACAGGATAAGTCAACAAAGTTATGAGAGCCCATGACATATAATCCGGGATAGAATTGGAGTTGGCTTGGTCAAAAGTCTCAACCAAGGTCTGTGCTTCGCATTCGAATCCATTTCACTCCACTTAATCAGTAAAAGGATAAAGGAAATCCTAACACAAAAACACCAATGTAATGCGAAATATTTTTCCCGATTTAATGATAAAAATGCTCTCAGGAAATAAAATAATCTACATAATCTATATTTTTTCCAGATTTCGACTGTATGCATAGGCGTATGTGCGTACATGAAGTCGTACATGCATGGCAGGGGTGGATCCAGAGTAGTTCAAGTGATTTGCACAAATCACTCAAATTTTTTCCAAATCTTATGTCTCAGCTCTTTATTGCTGTTGACGGAATCAATTACCTTCCTTGTTATATTGTTTATTATGAAATTAACAAAACAACTGAGAGATTATTCCGTCGATCACACAGCAAACCCAGCCGCTTCCGAGCGAAGTGGACGAGTCACTGTTCGCGCAGTTTCGTCCTTTATTGATCTTTGGAGAACCACGCGAAAAAAATTTCGCAGGCACGACCGGACAAAGTTTCTACCTAGAGGGTAGGGACGGGAGGCATGGATCTTTTCACAAATCACTCAAAACCCACTTCGATTGGTCAGAACCACTCGCATTGTCTTGCGAACTACTCAAACTCGATTGTGATTGGCTATTCAGGTCGCAAACTACCGTGCAAACTATAAAGAGAAGCCTCTCCCTCAGAAGTCCCTTCGTTCTTGTTGAATTCGTAAACTCGGTTCGCGAAGACAAGAATACTTTGATTTATAAACCATGGTTCGAGGCGATCCAGTTTGTCGGAAGGAGGACTGTTCTCAGTATGATATTGGCTTCGTTTTCAAGGAAATCTGGTGAGCTATTTGATTTCCCAGTGTCAGTGGAATGTTCGAATTCTAAGCGTGACTTTGTGTGGAGCTGGCTGAAAAGATTTGCCTGGCTAGTATACTCAAAATTTCTCGATGGTGCATTTTGTTTACCGTGTGTTTTGTTTGGAGTCTCCAGTGTGGGAGGAATTCGAATAAACTCGACAAATTGTGATACAGAAACCTTTCAATGCACGAATTTCTATTCGTGTCACCCACCAGGCGTCATGAAAGACTTCATAAAAGGAGAAGCGTGAAGGCTTCTGAGAACAAATTCCTCTCAATTTACTTTTGAGGAAAACATGAGTAATTTCAAAACACGCCTGCAGAATAGAGATTACCCAGCTAGAATTGTAGAAAAACACCTTTCAGAGATTAAATTCTCTGATAGAGAAATGTCGCTAGCGCAGAAAAACAAAACCGCACTTAAGAAAATACTGCCCTTTGCAACACAATACCATGCGGCTTTGCCTAACCTAAAGGACACACTCATGGGGAAATGGCACCTTATAGAAAATCAACTGCAACTGAGAGAAATTTTTAAGGAGCCCCCCATCATCTCATACCGTAAGGGAAAATCCCTAAAGGAGATCCTAGTTAAAGCTAAGCTATGAAGGCTTTATTAGAATTTATTCTACCGCGAACTGCAGGAGTCGTGTAGGCTTGTCAACACTTTTATCAATGCTAATTCACTTGCTAGACCTCTTAGACACAGACAGACAAAGTTCAGATCTAGACAAAAAAATGTTACCTTGTATAGTCAAACAAAGTAATGAATATTTGTACAGAATAATGCCTTTCTGGAGGAGGTACTGTTTATGTGTCTGAATGGCTTGAGCTGCTCTCAGAACGCAGGAAAATGGCAGTTTGAGAGCACTAAATTTCAAATTTTCTTGGGGGAGCATGCCCCCAAACCCCCCTAGTTTAGTTGGTGCAAATCACTCACGTAAAATCCTGGATCCACCCCTGCATGCTACATTCCTGGTAGGAGAAATACCTGATCGGTTCCTTGGCCGAGCTTTATACGGGTAACATTTTGTTGCCGACAAAGAACCACCAAGTGTATTTTTTTTTATCTTCTTTTGAAGGAAACGTAGATTTGCTTCAATCATAATATAGTTTGACAACTCTTACATAGAAGGCCAGTCCTGTGTCTTAATATTTCGCCCTCCCTCACATTCTGTGCATTTTCAAAACTGACCCCCCAAATCAAGCCTCTTAGAAAAAAGAAGCGAAAATATGCGAGTCAACATAGAGGTGGATGCAGGAGAAGCGAGAATGGAGAACGTTTGATTCGACTAGGCGTGATTTACCTAAAAGTGGTTCACGTAGGTCTGCTGGCAATGCGGTGCCAGGACTGTTTGCGGGAGCAACACAAGAGGCTCCCTCAGGTGATGAACAGTTGACAAAAAACTGCCCGGTTCAAAACTCGACAAGTCATACGTTAGAGTAGTGTAAGAAGTCTAAGGAACTGCACACTCTTGAGAAAGAGAAACTCGTTTAGGAACATATACAAACTTTGCCTGTCTTGTCTATAACCGGGCCATCGGCTGAACAAAGGCAATGCTAAGAAAGCATGCAAAGTTGAGGGCTGTGCTATGCGTCACCATAATCTAGTTCATGAGGTTGACTTGAACATTATTGAGGGATCAAGAGCCAGAAAGCAGAAAAACTGGCAGTGGGTGAAGGAGACCAGAAACCTTTTGTTCCGTAGGGTGATAACAAACCTCTAAATCTGTCAGAGAAATCGCTGGAGCAGTCACGCTGGAGCAGTGTCATCACTCGGTGTGTTTAGGCTGTGAGGTTGGCGGTCGTGCGTTGGTTGAGGTGCTGCCTGCGGTTCTGTTCTCAGATAAAGGCGGGCAACAAGTTATGCCGTTGCGTGACTCAGGATGTAACACAACACTTATGGATGAAGAATTGGCTCACTCACTTGGTCTTAAGGAACATAAAGAATTGCCTTATTGCTAGAGTTGGAAGAGAAGGGGTGAAGTACGTATTGAGAGATGTTAAAACCTTTCCTAACCAACGTGGTCCGGACCAGAAGATAAAGTGGTCGGCAATTAAACAGAACTTTAGCCACCTGAAAGACTTGGACTTAAAGGAAACAGACACGCGTCCAGTGCAACTGATAATAGGAAACAACAACTCAGATTTGATTCTACCAATGCAGATTTTGAAACCTTCAGGACAGTCTCATGCTGACAAAGTACCATACGCAGTCGAGACACCTCTCGGTTGGGCAGTCAACAACTGGTTACCCGGTGAACAAAGAGTGGCATCACCATAAAACATGTTTAAAGTGTATGAAACAAGTGCAGGCGACGAGGAGGAGTTGCAGCGGTTGCTTACTGCTCAGTGGGAGGTAGTAGAGTCATTAGGTGTGGTGAAGCTTGCAGATCCCGTGCGTTCAGTTGAGGACAGACGCGCGTTGGCAGTAATGGAGCAGACGACTAAGAAACTGGAGGATGAAGACGATTATGTGTCAGGGCTGTTTTAGTCTGCTACACAGCTGTTTTTAGAGTCGTCACGCAACGCTCCTCCCCACTAACGGCTGCTCAAAACCGAACTACATTCCTTTCCCGTGATTAGCCAATTATAATTCAGCTCCCATTTTCCGGAAGGTGTTCGCGCCACGTTTGCGGTACTGTGACTCCTCCAATCACAGCTTTGCTTTTATCGGTGCCCAATGTATGAATGACAGAATAATCAAAATCGTCGCGTGAAAACAAGCAATTAACTACAGTAGTGTTGTCGTAGTCGAGTCCTATTCAAAATTTAGGAGATAAGAAGCAGCAGCAAGCAAGTCGAGCAAGTTGCGATGCATAACATGGATGTGCTCATAAAGTTGCCAGATTTAGTCTCGGGAAATCGCTCATCGATAATTTATAGGATTGCTTTTTGAATCAGTACCCTTGAGAGTTTAGTCTTCACAGGAACACAATGAGCGTATCCGGCACATTAAATTCTTCATTACATATCAGTACATATGCACGGTAAATGAGGAACCGACCGATCCTGGTAAACATCTTCTAGGCCTATCAAACCTATTTTTCACTTGGAACTTTCTTGACCGCTTAAAACAAACTTTTTTGCAAATTAACCTTTTCGTTGCTTAAAAACACAAAGCCCGTCTAAATTCAGCGACGATTGATTGATTTGTCGAAAACTGAGAACGTGCTCGCTTCCTAGCACCCTGCAGCTCACGTATTGTCAAATTTCTTATACATGATTGTTAGTTAGACCACAAACACAAAGGGAAAGGAATGTAGTTCGGTTTTCAGCAGCCGTTTGTGGGGAGGAGCGTTTCGGGACGACACTAAAAACGGCTGTATAGCAGACTAGGGCTGCTTTGGCGCGAAAAAGACCCATCGCTTCCTTATAATCATGACATGGCTGGCTGTGCTGAGACTTCAGTCGTTAGAGAAGAAGGCAAAACTAATCTCGAAATTACGGACCGACATGCGAAGTCAATCCAGGATGACATTAAGAAGGGTTACGTGAAAAATCTAACTAAAGAGAAAGTATGCACTGACAGCAAAGTGACTTGGTACTTACCGCACCGTTTCGTAATCAATCCCGAGAAACCTGATCGTCTCAGGAGAGTATATAATACATCAGCGAAATTCAGGGGTCAAAGTCTAAATGATAAAATGTACACAGGACCAGACTACTTGTCGTCGTTGTTTGGTGTTTTGCTTAGATTTTGCGAACTGAAGGAAGAATAGCGTTAGCAGCA